CCTACGGCGTGTGGTCTACAAGTGTTTCTATTCATCTCCTTCCAGACCCATCGAGTGACTGCGTTGAGAGGAGAGTTGGCCTTCGCAAGATCCTTCTCGTTATTGAAGATGTCAGGACCAGAGGGGTAGTTGGGAAATTTGAACGAAGTACCAAATGTTCCGGCATCGCAGTTTCCAACGCGGGACTCCTGGTTCCTGTCTGGTCCATTCCACCTTCTAGCCAAGCCAGATTCCGACCCCGAATCAAAGTCATCATCTGGAGCCTCCGGATCCGAGTTCTCGGCTTGGAACTCAGCAGGGCATACATCGCAACCGCTAGAAGCATCTCCCGTCGCGCTACAGGCATCCATTTCAGTAGTAGTAGTGGTACCAGTGACACTGCAACCAGTAGCGGTCATAGAGCATGTTGTAGTACACTCCGGAGTCTCAACACCAACTTGCGTCGTGCATCCAACAAGGCAGTTGCTGACAGTTGATGCATCCGTGCAGGTGGCAGTAGACTTGTCAGACTTGGATGAGTCATCATCGCCTTCCTCACCGTTACCTGGCCCTGTTGTTGGAGGAGTCGAGCAGAGAGGTGGAAGGCAGGGCAGAGAGAATGGGGGAGCGCCTGGGAGGTTGAACTGCGTGCCGCTCACATGAGGGAAGCCCCAGAGGATTAGACCTGCGCCGTCGCCATCACAATCCTCGGTATCGACCAGGACAGGGACCTCAGTCGGCGTGCTTGAACCATCAACAGTTGTAGTGATCCAAGTGTTGGCTGTCCATTCAGTGTGACCAGATACGCAAGTCGGTGCCCAATCGGCTGGGACTTCAGTGACCGTACCAGTTGGGGCGGGCGGGGGCTGTGCGGAAGTGACTCCCGGTGCTGCGGTAATGGGTGGAAGGTCTGAAGCAGCAGTAGATACTGGCAGAGAGTCGGTGACTCCAGCGTCAGGCTTGGTGGTGCTTTCGACAGCAGGGACTGAAGGAATGTCGGAGGAGGCGGACTCAGTAAGCTGAGGCTGCTCCGCAAGAGTAGTTTCCGTCTCGGCGCCGGAGTCGGCGGGCTGGGACTCAACCGGCTGAGAGTTGCCGAGACCAGTAGTCTCAATAGCAGGACCAGATTGTGTGTTAGGTGGCTCAGATCCGGTGGAAGAATTGACAGGTGCGGTGGCTTCGGCGTTAGCTGGCTCAGTAGTGATGAAAGTACCATCGTCTGGGTTGCCGGTGAGTGGCTGGGTTTCAAACGGTTGAGATTCGCCACTAAGAGTGGCATCCACAGCAGGAAGGGTGGTGTCGAATGTAAGCTCGGGCTGGGAGCCTTCGTTGGACTCAGACGAACCAGGAGCGATCTGAGTGTTTAGCCCAGTCTCGACATCAGTGGCCTCGGTAACAGGACCTGTGGGGATAGGGCCCCCCGTCGGATCGGTATCAGTAGGAGAGTCAGTCTCGGTGTTACCAGGGTTGGGACCACCAGTCACGTTACCATCACTGCCAGTCTGAGAGACGGGACCAGACTCGGAGACCTCACCACTGGGGACTTCAGAAGAGATGGCTCCAGATCCAGTCTGAGTGTTGTTTTCGCCGGGGACGCTCGTGACATCGGGGTTGTCGACTGGAGAACTTCCCGTGCCCTGGGATTGGGTACCAGAGGCTTCGAGAAGAGAAGAGGTCTCGCCAGTAGCTATGCCAGGAAGGCCACCTGTCTGGGTACCAAACACTGCGCTACCGGTAGTCTGATCACCGTCAACAGGACCTGGAACGTCACCAATCTGAGTGCCAGTAGGCACACCGCCTGGAGGAACAGTAGCAGAAGCATCGCCACTCCCAGTTCTAGAGGGACCATCAGCAGATGTCTGGTCGCCAATGGAACTAGGGACACCGCTGGTTTCTGTACCAGTGGGTGCACCCACAGAGGTTTCATCGCCAAAAATTGGGACACCGACGCTGTGAGAGCCAGAGGGAATATTAGCAGAAGAGTCAATTCCAGAAACATCCCCTGTCTGAGTGCCTCCAGGCTGTGTTTCCTGGACTTGAGTTTCTGTGCCCATCACAGCAGTCTCGGTGTTATCTGGCTGTTGGACACCAGTACCAGGAACATCCGTCTGGGTGCCAATAACTCCAGTCTGAGTGTTATCTGGGCCAGGAATGCCGTCAGTGTTGGTCCCAGTCTCGATTTTGTCTATATCGCTACTGGTCGAGGGCAACGAGACAAAGGGAACGGATCCAGTAGAAGCAGCTCCAGACAAAGGACCTGTTTGGTCTGGCTGGCCATGGGCCCTCGAAGTTGAATCCGGGCTGGATCCTGTCGTCAGTGAGCCTGGAAGGTTGTAACCGGGGGCTGTTCCTGGCTTGCATGGGCTAGCCAGGGCACTGGTTGCCCATACAAGAAGACTAAGCTTCATGATGAAATAGTAACGAATGTGTCTAAAGAGTGACTGTGATCTGGTGATGATTACTGAGATCGATCCATGTCTGCTAGGCCTCGCTCCTACATCTATATACATCAGTGGTATGTCACCACAAGACTTTATCTTATCTAAACGCCAGCTTCAATCTCTGCTATGCATCACGGCAAGAGTCCCTGTCATCTCAACAAGGATGGAACGAACTTATTTACCCAGTCAAATCCAACAATTTTCTTCGTACTCCACCTCCGCAGTTGTCGAATGAGCTGTGCATTTAACGTGAGGTAACGCTATGATCCAAGTTTGGTAAATGCGATATCTACGGTTGCATTGATGTGCGAAAATGCTACACTGTAATATGCCATTACCTAAGTCTTTGGCGGATGGCTAGCGTACCCTTGCTACAAAGTCCCAAGCCGGGAATCACCGGTAGCGGGCTTCTAGCGTTGTAGGACCACAATCAGATTTTAGCTTGAAACGCCATTTATTTCTAGATGACTTGACAGTCACTGGGCCATTTTGTGTCCCACCAGTTGAACACAAGGCTCCCGGTGCTGGACAGCACCATCATCAAGTTCGGCGCCAGAGACATATGCATGAAGACTCATGGTTGTAAGACGTAGAGACACGGGCTGTGATATAAATCCTCAATTGGGAGGTATTCACCTTTTCATCATTTAGTGAGCAAAATCTAGGATCTGCCTTGTCAGGATGTGTTCTTCCTTGAACAACAAGAAGCCTGGTGACTGTGAAAGACTCGACTTACTGTAAGATATAACGGTCGGAATTGCGAGCTGAATCATGATGAATGCACTGTCTTCACAGTAAACGGGATGCCGGAGGCACGCTTTCAAGAATATTTCGTGGGCATCTCAACGGCAGTTGATGTTGATGTGTTGAGCGGCAAAGTAGGGCAAGAATATGCAGGAACAGTCGTAAAATATCACGCCGGTGAGATTTTAGTGTGCTTACTATACCTACATCAGTATGGTCGGGATCCTTCGCTTGCTGTTAGCGTGTTTGATGTTTCATCAACTGATTCAGGGTCCATTGGGCTGAAAAAAAGGGACGAGGATCTTGATGCGGGGTGTTGACAAGCTACCTACCTCAAGCGTAACCTTCCCACTTCACTCATCCATCCTCTCATCCTAATACGTATTCTCAAATGGGGGAATGGCCACATCCTTTCTGCGCCCTTTGTGGCACGCTAATACTCAATGGAGGTTCTCTAGACCCTGAGCCGAATATTTGGGACAGAAGCGCATGGTCGCATAATGCTTTTGCCATTGAAGGTCCCGAGTGCTTGGGCGAGCCTATCGAATCATCCAGTCATCCAGACGAGTTATTCACCTGGCATGAGGCCACCGGTCATACTGACTACGAGTTTGGCTGGGGCCACCTGACATTACTCCCCAGTGGAAAAACCGTGTTTCCACATTCGGCCCATGGCAATCGGGATCTGGCTTACGTCGAAAGTGGTCATGTTTATCTTGGCTTTCACAGGGCTTGTGCATCAATCGCTAGGCAGTTCGTCCGACGAACAAAAGGATACCCTGTCAAGTCCTTTGCTGACATCTGGATTACCGTCAACGGACGTTATTCTAAGGGTCCTGGTGGTTGCGGCGGTGATTATGCCCCTCAAATACCCGTCAAAACTGAGAGAGGAACATATATTTGGACTAAAGAAGCGACGTATTACCTGGGATACTCGCACGGCATTGAATGGGTAAGTATCTACAGCCATTGCCTCTTCTTCTAGCTAACATCCCTTAGTGGGACTATGATCCTTTTTATATCCCGAACCTCACAGGTCGTCTACTAGAGAACTTGACATCAAGAAACACTCAACCCAAGCCTGAGGCAAGCAAGCAACCAGAGGAATTGGCAGACGAAATTGTGGGTCAAATTGTATCTGGCGATTGGAGTTCGTATGGACCACCTGCATCATATACACTGCCTCAGACATCTTGGAAAAGGATTCTAGTCCAGATCCCTTTCCTTTGGGACATGGATGTGGAAGAAATTGAACAGTTTCCTGATATTCCTGAAAGCCAACAGCGAGAATGGAACTGGGAAAGATTGGTGCGGGGAATTCTATGCGGCCCGATTCCACAGCGAAGATCAGACAGCGAAGGGTCTGAGCCTGAGAAACGGACGCATACTGTTTGGGACTACAGCCATGTCAAACTGGACCTACCCCCAGGCTTGACAAATCGCCGACGCATCTGGCAGATCTTGGAGGATATGAATTCTAAAGAACTTGATGTCTTGGATGAGCCGGACTTTATTGTTCTCGATGATCATTTGGATAGGTTCATTAGTCGGACAGTGAAGGATGGAGTTAATGTGGAGGATCCAGATACTACTTGTCTTGACTGGGAATCGCCGTCGTCTATTGATGGGGATGTACGAGAGGATTGGCTGGCACCCGATGGCTGCGCAGCAACTGGTACAGGGGATCTAGATTCATTTTGGTAAATCCTTATGAAATAGAGATATTGATGCTACAGTCCCGATTGACATCAAATCAGATCAACAGCAATTATACTCTTTGCAATTGTTCTGCCACAGGTTTAGTAAGACGATTGCATGTCGATCAATATCCAAATCGGGCGAATGGTTTAGTGGTATAATACTCCCTTAGCAAGTTCGTCTTTCCGACAGTCTTCCTTCTGGGAGTGGTCCAGGGTTCGATTCCCTGTTCGTCCAACGTAGGTGGTTAGATCCCACCGGTCCACATTTTTGCAGTGGTGGAGTGGACGCGACCGGACCTTCATTAGCATTGAAATTCAAAAACTGCGATTATTCTTGTGCTAATTTGATCTGTATCGGGGACCTACGCCTCACAAACTCCAAAAAAATTAGTAGAGTGGACACTACCGTCGCTATCCTGAGGTAGTAGCTTGGAAAGCCGCCGCCGTTGTCTAAGTCCTTACTCTCGGTCGAGGGATCAGAAAGAAGGAGCTGCCCCCCAGGCCTTCGATACGATCTCTGTCCCAAAAATACGCACCGGATCGCCATGAGGCTTGAGTTCGGTAAGATTGGCCCTCGATACCTTCCCAAGGCTGCCAGGGACGAGCCTCCAAAGTTCCTTTGCGATGAAGGTCGATTCCGTTGACCATAAGCACTAATGGATCCGAGCTTCGAGATGCGGTGTAGAACCAGTCCAGCATGAATTCTGTCTGTGCCAATTGGTCCATACACTGCAATTTGTATAACATGCCGAGGCCTTGACTTGTGAGAAAATGGGCAAAGTTCAACATTTCGACTCTTGTCTGCCTCTCCCAGCAACTTCTCTGCTTTGACTGGTGGCGTGATGAAGGCGCTGTGGTTGCAGCAAGATCGGATGTAGTGTTACCGATCATAGTCAGGTATTGATTAAACACGTAGTATGTGATGGAATAAAAAGCCTCTTTCTCCACAAAAGATTCATGTAGGTTGTTAAAAAACAGCGTCCGTATTGATTCGTTTCTTTTGAACAAAGTCTTCTCACGAAGGTAGAACATCCCGCAATAGTTCTCAAAACCGATCGCCGCTTGAATGAATCGCCGCCTTTCGTTCATAGAGAGAATCAGGGGTTCTGTCCCGGGTTCGCCTATCTCTGAATCCTGCATGACGTACCAAGCTTTAGGCGCATAGCTGTCCATAACCCACTCCAACTCAATAAGAAGTTGTTGTGCGCTGTAAATTAGGCCCAGCTCAGTCGTTGTTGAAAGCTTATTTCCAGAATATTTGTGGCGATAGAGACGCAGACTGGCCTGTTCTGCTTCTCTCACCTCAGACTGCGGCGCAGAAGCACTAATGGGTTGTCTGCAGCGTAGGCGTAATGCTGATAGGAAGATGGAAAAATTGCAGCCCGCTAGGCGGTGGTTAAGATTGATGACAGTCGACTTGAGAAGCTGTTTTCTGTGGGTGAGGAAATGTTGAAGAAATAAAGATGATGTATTAATCAACGTACATATGTCGCTCAAGTCTAAGAGTTCCATAATCTCGAGGATTATTTCCGGGCTTAGACGGGTGATGTTTGTCATAGTGAAGGCTTCCGTCGTGCAGGTGTGATATGAATCCTGTCATATGGCAATTGAGCCAGTCTAGTTGCGAGTATGGGGTGACGACGAATTGCAATTAGTGGGGGGATGACAGATATTTATATTCTTTTTGAAGCCTACTTGGCCCATTAAGCTTTTATTCTGGGTCACGACCTCACACAAGGCACAAGGAATAAGGTTTGTGAGAATATTAGAGGCACGACACGTGGGTGTGACTCGTGGGATCACACTGTCGAGAATTCAAAGTAGTGATGTTGAACTATGATGGGGCCTGGCTGAATGTCGAGCAGAGCACCACGAAACAGGCTAAATATGCTAGAAAGTTGTAGCATTTACATATCCAGAGCCGCTCCTTCCTCCCCGAATGGGCTCCGGTCATCAGACCAGCTTTTAACTTCGGTACCACCCAAATCGATGCACACCCCTGGGTTCGTTTCCACAAGAACGACTTTGCCTTTACAATCAGATTCCGTCCATCCTGCAAGGTAGTACTTGCCAACCTCTCCGATGCGTACAACGGCCGAGCCGGTCCCGGGAACTGTCCTGTTGATGCAATTGCCTTGGGTGGAGAGGTAGCTGTAGGTCGCTGCACCGCTGCAGTCGGCTGAGTCGGCGTAGAGGCGCGCCCAGAACACGATTGGCTTATCGGGAACGCCTTGGGGCGAAGCCATAACAAGGCTCGCCAGGGCCAAATTGATGAATGAAGTGGCATACATTGGCGGAGCGTAGGGAGGCAAAATGTGACAGCTAGTTGGTCGGCGACGGGTGTGATCTCGAGTCCAAAGGTTTGGATGCCCGATCCAATGGTTGTCAATGATGAGAATAGATCAAACAGCTGTCGCTTGACTGGACTAAAAAGGCTCAGCCCTTACGTTCTTATGATACACGAATAACAGGAATGAAATTAGGCTATTTGCGGTTCCCAGTTCGATAAAAGCCCGAATCCTTCACATAAAATTACCCGATAACGCAATGATAATCTCGAAGGATTCAGTAATGTAACCCAACAGCTTACTCTCACTCCTAGTAGTAACTGAAATCTTCCTGTAATGTTGCAGTGAGGGGAGTAAGCTATGTACGGTTAAGTATCTGGGAGGATCGCTTTGGATTCCATGAGTACAGAATGTAGCTAGTTCGTGAATCCTTCATGCCGGCTAGTGGCACATGACATTGAACGAATCCACAGAGGGATGCTCAATTTAGAACACCTGACATCTCCTAGAGGACGAGAACTAGTGAAAGAACACTTCGACATTCCCTTTCTGGTCCGGACTTAGGGTCTTGTAAGCGATCCAAAACGCCTTTGACCGCCAACGGACGACTACACTCCGAAGACCGGAATTGGTTTTAACATCTGCAAGTCGACCAGTTATGAATAAATCTAGGAAGTGGAATGATCATCAGGCGGATCGTCAGAACTGAGGGCAAGGCAAGATGGAGTTCGCATAGCAAGACCAGGAGATCCTCACACCATGGACTTTCAGAACAGTGAACATGTTATTTGGGACAGAGTGACTATTGATTGAACAACCCGTGGATCTGATTTGAACTGTAATAGATAAGATAAGAATTTCAAGTCAAGATATCCTTCTGTCAGCGACTGTCACTGTCAATTTCTAGTTGCCCGGCCATCCAAAGTGGGGGCATCACCAACTCAATCCATTTCAACCTCACACCTCACACTGGCCTGAATGATTTGTTGATCATTTCCCGACTTTATCATGGCATACGACGACGACGGTCACATTCTTTCTTGGATACGCGACATCCCTTCTAATCCTCCCTCACCGTCGCAACCTCACCATCGCAAGCGCACACACTCTGACTCTGAGCAACTCGTGTCGCCGCCTTGTTCGCAAGAGCCGCGTCGAGCTGATTTGGGTGACGCGATGCCTCTTCCTCCAGTCAAGCGGCCGCGTCTCCGCGATACACCGTCACGTTCTGAGAGTGACCGCCCATCAACTCAGCAATCTCCCGGGAAGTCACTTACCGCCCTTGCCGTCACTGAAGGCGGAGTTGACGTTGAGCCACTCGAAGTTTCCGACGAACGAATTCCTCTCTCTTTGGTTCAGTTTTCCCTCGCAGTCAAGAACATCATGGGCGTTGTTCCAAAGCACTTGGAGGTTGGTCAACTCACGTTCATACCAGGATGCGGCTGACACATTGCAGGACGAGATCGCCAAGTTAAGCGAGAACGACGCTCAAGCCAGTGCAGACTTTGGGCCCCATGTCTTTATCAACTCTGAGAAGACGTATCCTCCACACCTAGCTTCCGAGATTGAACTCGCAACGGTCCAGCTCATTGTCGGCGGCGCTGCAGACGCTTGTCGTAGTCAATTTGACGAGTCTGGATGGAACAATTGTGTTCACACGCCGCTTCTACACCTTGCCTTCTACGGCAAAAAGCCTCGTGGATCACACGTCCACAATTTTATACCTTGGTATGTCCTCTTTGAGACTCTGCTGCCCTTTCCAAACATCTAACTTCACACCCAGTACCAGTGCTGGAGTCCAGCCTGCGTACCTGATCAGCAACGCTCAAGGCAAGAAGGTGGACTATGTCTTCTGCGTCGACGCCAAGCATGACAGCGATCTCCAGGCTCACGAGCTAATCAACAAGATACGCCCCAAGCTCAACGACACCTCCATCAACCATACCAGCCACGCAAGTCTATGTACCCACCCGATCTCCATCAGTGTTAAGACCAAGAGAGACGGATCGAACGCCGACAAGGCTCGTCTCCAGTTGGCTGTCTAGCACGCAGCCCAGTGGCGGAACTTGGTAAAGCTCTTTGACAACAAGGTAGATGAGCTGGACTTTATTCCAAGTATCATCGTCCACGGAGATCAGTGGCTGTTCGTTGCCTCGACTTTTGATCGTTCTACCAAGAAGACGGTTAGTGTTCTTACAGGGTTGCTTCTTCTCAATTACTAATCAATTGTTCAGATTCTCTGGTATTCTCGCGATCGTTTCGGCGCAACTAACTCTTTGTTGTTGACCTTTAAGGCGATCGCTGGCATCCAGCGCCTTCGAGCTTGGAGTCATGACATCTTTTGGCAGTGGTACAAGCACCACCTTCCAGCCGCCCATGCGTCTTTGTGTCCTACGAACACCTCCACTACTTCAACCGACCAGCCATAGGTGGATTCGACCGTATAGGGTTAGTTCCGTCTGTGTGCGTGTGGACGTCCTTGTGGCTGTTGGAAATGGCATCAATTTGTATATGGAGACTGTAGAACAGTCGGTATCGTGAGATGATAGAATTGATTGGCTAGACTCTTGCTAATGCGGGAAAGAAAGAAGGTATCAGATTATGTAGTCCTTGTACTTGAGAGCTCAATGGGCATCTCGATAGTCTTGAGACGACGCAATACAGGCTACGGCTGAATCTCGCACAACAGTCTTGCCCCATTCAACGTGTATGAGGAATAATGTCTCAAATGTAGCACCGATTCCATTTTAGTTTCGAATGGTAGCTACCAGGCCCTAGAGGTGGCTTGTAGACCACCGCATGCTCTCATTCATCTCCGGGCACTTTCTGAAATGGGGCAAAGATTGATCATTCGCCACCTGACGACCAACGCCTGTCTTCTTTTTTAAGCTTTGTATCTGAGGAACATTGTCTTCAAGATGTAAAGACAAAAGGATAGAATGGATTA